GGGGCTGCAGTCTCCCTGTCTGCAGGGAGGTGGGGGTGGGGGGGCTGCAGTCTCCCTGTCTGCAGGGGCAGAAGTGGGGCGCGGTGCAGTCTCCTTGTTTGCAAGGGGGCGGGTGTGCAGTCTCAGTGTGCGCCATGCTGAGAGTTTAGACCTTTATGTGACAGTCAGAGTCCCGGGGAAAGCACATTCAGGTGTTGCTAATGGAGAGAGAGCTTGGCCAAGAGCAGACTGATTTAAAACCGACATTAGGCTGTTCTTTGATAAACTTGCAGGACTGCCTGGGAGGCAGAGAAAATTCGCTTTCCTTCTGGTGAAACTAGAAATGTGCGCGCGCGCATGTGTGTGTATGTGTGTGAGTGTGTGTGCACGTGTATGTGTGTGTACGAGAGTGTGCGTGTGTATGAGTGTGTATATGTGTGTATGTGTGTGTGTGCATGTGTGTGAGAGTGTGCATGAGTGCGCGTGTGTATGAGTGTGTATATGTGTGTATGTGTGAGAGTGCGTGTATGTGTGTGAGTGTGCATGTGTGAGTGTGTGTGTGAGAGTGTGCGTAAGTGTGCGTGCGTGTTAGTGTGCGTAAGTGTGTGTGCATGTTAGTGTGAGTGTGTGTGTTCTTTCATTCACAGGTGTGGGGATATAAAGGAAAGTTGTGAATGTCTGATAATAGGAGGGTGGATAGATAAGATCGAGGCCATTGATAAGGAGAAGAACTATAGGGAGATTAGGAGGCGTGACCTAGCGCTGTACGTCTTAATGTGTGCAACTCTCAAACATCGTATGGAAAAGAGAAGCTGCAGAGCAGCATGCACAGTGGGCACTGATGTAAACTTAAAGCCCCCACGAGGGAGGATTCTGGAAAGATGATGGTTGGGGCAGCAGATTTGGAATTTCTTTGAATCTCGAACAATTTCTCTCTCTCTCTGACATAAAATAATTCAAACCAAGATTGGTGGTATTCAGGGCACCATCTTGGCTCCTTCTGACTCATAATAGGAAATTTCAGAGGCTGTTGCGGTACGATGAGAGAGAGAGAGAGAGAGAGAGAGAGAGAGAGAGAGAGAGAGAGAGAGAAACTGGATAGGAAAACCAAAAACCATAGACAATAGTTACAACAGAACTAGGTATCTCCAAGTACCCTGACCTACAATCAGACAAGGTAAACCATACAGAGCCACATGCCTTGTAGGTTAGCAATGTCTACGTGGGAGAACGTAGAGGGCAGCAATGGGATGTCAGATAAACCCAAGAGCAGGAGAATCCCCGAATAACCCGGAGGTGTGGGCTGGGAAGGTGGTGGGCCTGGGAGGGCTGTGCCCGCTGCAGCCCAGGTGCGCACAGAGGCTCCAGGCAGGAAGCACTGAAGAGCGGGAGGGGTCGGGCACCTACAGGCAAGTACCTGACCCAGCGGAGCCCTCTAGGACAGAAGCACAGTGAGGAGGAGCTGCTGGGCCTGGAGCCAGCACTGAGCAGGACAGAAGCCATGTAAAGAGAAAACCAGAAAAAAGTGGGCAGGGGAACAGAGTCAGGCAATCTCAGAAAGCAAGGTGTCTCCCCCCCACCCCCCCGCCCCCCGCTACACACACACACACACACAGAAACAGCGGAAGCAAGAGTTCTGTGCATTTAGAAAAGCTACCCCAAACCACTTCTTTTTCTAACAGTGTTGGAAAACTAATTTCATATAAAAATGAGCAACAGAAATGTATCTAGGTCAACACCCATACAAAGTTATTATAAGAAAAAAAAAAGAATAAGGAACAGAACCAAATCCCCACAGATAGCAAAAGCATGCCAGAAAGTCATTCCAAAAGGGATTAAAACATAATATTCCAAAATGAGCTAAGAAGCATTATTAAAATGATATAGACATGAAAGAACAACAGAAATGAGAATTAGGAAAACTCATACATGGAAAAAAGAATTCAGGGAGGAGTACAAGATTATAAAATAAATGAAGTCTGCACTAGAATGAACAGAAGAAGGGAAGGCAATGCTGATGTCTTAGGAGAAATGGAAAGGTGAAAGGGAGGAAAAATGTGATATAAAACAAATGAAGAGATAAAAAGTATTCAAGAGATAGGCAGAATATCGAAGGTAGGCAAAGAAGATTCAAAATAGGAATAATAGGAGTCCCTGAAGAAAAAGAACAAAACAAAATAAAGCAACTGAACAAATACTCACAACTTTCCTGAGATTGTAAGAAATGTATCTGAAACCCCCAACTGAGAGAGCACACTGCGTGCCTCAAAACATCAGTGCACAGCAACTAGCACCAAGACAGATTCTGGTCAGAAGCCTAGATTGTATAGAAGAAAGAAAAATAATCCTTTGAACTTCTAGGCAAAAATAGACGTATAAGAAAGAGAAAATTAGATGATCATTATGCCTTTTAATAACATATTTAAGATACTTAGGGGAAAAAATTGTGTGCCGATGATTTTTATTTCCTGAATATAAAGGGCACAGACAGCTTGCTATCAAACATGCAAGGGATTCAAGGAATATTTCCCATGAGCCCTTCCTGAGGCATGAGCTCGAGGCAACAACTCAACTAGACAGACATCCTCTGAAGGGCTGATGGTGACCATCCATCACAGAGCGGCTGATGACACTAATAAGAAATGAGGGTGAAGGGAATGGGTATTGGATGGAATGACTATATGCTCAGATAACACAGTGTGATGATTAAATAAGAAATGGGAAAAGCATGGGCAGAAAACAATTTTAACTGCTCTCAATGATTATAAAACATATTAATGGTAGTCGTATGAGGATTGGTATTCTGAGGCTGTTCCGTGTGCAGTGAGGGATAGGTAAGTGAATAATTATGGACTATTTTAATTCTATCAATCCCTTTGACCTTGAGAATTAGGACTCAGAGTGCGGGAAGAAGCAGGTTATAGCTATGTAGAGCACAGATTAAGAAAAATTTTCTGTAGTCCTGAATTTCAATTCCAACTGTCAGTATGAACGCAACAGAAATATGTAAATTATTTTAAAATTACATATTTCATCTATGTAGATTTCTCTGAGTGTCTACCGAAGAGAAGAATGATTAACTCAATAGCAATGAGCATTTCTAGGCCCCAGATTGTGGTCTTAAAATATTATTTTCCACCTAAAGAAACCAGGGCTTCTAAGGGAAATGACGAATGTCAAGCCTGCGGCTGGCAATGTACAGGGCAGGGCTGGGACACCTGTCATACCAGCTAGTGAGGTGACCTAGGCCCACGTCACAGGCCTCAGGAGCCAACTAAAGAGGGTCCCATTGGTCAAAGTTGGGACAATTTGGGCTTCAAAAGGACAATTTGGGCTTCAAAAGTAAAAGAGACCCTAACTCATCAGATATGTATAAATTCATGAGTTTATAATAACATTTTAAAGAAAGCCAATTGACCACTTTGGGATGATACCAGAAAGGCAGCGAATTGTTTGAAAACTGGCAAATAAAGCAAAAGAATTGAGTATTTATCCTCCTTCCCTGGCACGAATGGTATCATTAGGGACTCTGGGCAACATGCCTTTAAAATATTTCTGAAGAGGAGGGGAATTGTCTCTAACAGACTTCAGTTACTAAATGACATGTATAAATGAGAGATGAAAATAGCACCATTTTGCACCCCGCTGTGAACTAAAAGGTCTGGTCATTGAGCGTCAACAGCTGCTAACATCACAAAAAGAGAAGAGAGAAAACCACGTCTGCTGGCCTCCCGATGAAAGAAAACACACACTATAGTCTCACCCAAGAAATCACACTGGAGTCTGATCAAGTGTCTGGACACAGCTGCCAATTTCAGGAAATACAGAGCACAGAGGAACACACTCAATTATACTGCAGGGGTGCAATCAGCAAAATCCAGACTATGGGAAACTCTTCAAGGCATATTCCAGCTAAATTATAAGGAAAAGGGAGGGATGAGAAGGAAGCTAGTAGATTAAAATAGACTTGAAAGACACATCAAAAATTTTAAAACTGGTCAAGATGACGGTATCTGGGAATGCCCACTTGGGTGATAACACTATAAAGCAATGCAAGGAAATGATTACAGTAAGATTCTTTTAGGGAGAAGGAGGGATTTATGATGGCATGGGGTATGTGGATGGGGATTCCAGAGTGGCTACCTATCTGTTCCTTCTTGACCTCAGCTATGTTTGCAAGTATACATTTATTTTGTGTAATTTTTTACATTTGGTTTACCAAGAAAAAGTTAAAAAAGTCACCCATAGAACAATACTATTCATTGGGTATAGATTCATACAAAAAAATGTGAAAGCATACAACTTGACAAGAACAAGACCCGTTAAGTTCATGTGTGTGGCTCCCTCCAGAGAGGCGGGCAGATGGAACTGGTGGCTGGGGAGACCAAAGGGTGTTTCAAGGTTATCCCAATTCAACAGAAAAAAGACCTGATGTATGTCAACATCTTAGCCATGGCCAATCTGGGACATGGCAAACACGTGTGTTTGTATAGTATCCTCTCCCAGTCTTCAGTTTTGAATTTTAAAAGTTGAGCTTGTGAATGCATATTGTGACTGCATGCAAGAAAGTCTCTGAAAACACTGGTGTGATTGGCACCGCATGCTGCATAAATCAAGGATATAATCACCTTCAGTCCAACTACTTTTACGTAGGAAAAATAATGTAGGCATCCCTGATGAATTAGTTCCTTAACATGAAATGAATGAAAACTTGACTGTGAAGGAAGTTTATACATTGTGACTGTTCACCTAACAGTATCTTTAAGAGATAAAAGAATATTTTCTTTCTGCTGAGATTGAAAAACAAATATGTGACTTGTTTAAACCACCAATCAGCTCCTTCTTTTGTAGGATGCATAAGGGATTTTATTGAGATCCAGTTCAAATGGATGGAATGTTCCCAGGTTACTTTCCCCTTTGGGGCTTTGAGATCAGTTGTCTTCTCAGCCTAATGCTTCATGTTGGGTATGCGCATGCATCTGGGTATGTGTATGTGGTCAAATGAGCAAACATTATTGAGAACTGTTCATTATTTTGACCATGATTGACCACCATTATTCTGCCATGATGGGAAAAGGATGCCAGAGGATAAAACTTCCTGGAGTGATTTTCTTGTGTTTGTTTTCATTTCCATGAGCCCCATAAGAATATCAATAGACAGAAGTAACACATCAGCTTCTCCTCTGCAGGCATGTGTAGGGTGTAAACTCATTAATGATGGCCCATGACGACCCATGATGAACCATGATGACCCACGAGTGAGAAAAAAGAGGGGGCCCTCACCCGCAGGCCCCTTTCCATATTTACCCGGCAGGTAGCTGCACAGTCTCTCCATGGAGGCCTGGACCGTGGAGTTGTGGACTTGAGCCAGCTGTTTGATCACAGACACCACTAGCACACAGCCTGTAGGAGAGAAGACCATGTCAGCAGGGCCGCACAGAGCCTGTGCCGGGGAGTCCGGAGTCCAGGGAAGGAAGGGGGAATGTGTATGTCCTCAAGAACACCAGCTCTTTCCAGAGCAGAGAACTCCTGTTTGCCATTCACCTTCGACAACCTACCAGGGGCAGAATTCACTGTGACTTGCAGTGAAACGTGATGTGTGGTAAGAAGATGGTGGGTTTGGGGTTAAAAAGACTGGTTGTCAGCCAGCTTTGCCATTTGTAAGCCATGTGACCTTGGGGGAGCCAATGAATCTTGCTTTTTTCTGTTTCTTTTGATCACATGGGAGGAAGGTGCCATTGAAAGGAGATCGTGCCAGGGCTGAGTCTTGCACCTTAATCTTGGCTTACCATCCAGCCTAAGCTTTGGTTTCCTCACAGCAAAGTAGGTCATAACATGTTTCCCATGGGGCTGCCGTGAAGATTAAATGAGATGACTGTGCGGGAGCACAGGAGACTTGATTGGAAAGTTTGTAAGGAGGAAAATTCCGAAAAAAAGGGTTGGGCTGAAGGCGGCCCGCCCTGGTTATCGGAATTCTGACTTAGGGGAGTTTGGCTAAAGGCAGCTGCCCCTAACTGTTCCTTAACCTTTCCAAACAAGTCTGTGCACGTGCAGACCCTTGGGCGTTTACTGGAATCTTTATGATCGAGGCTGTCTGATTCCTTTAGCCAGGCAGTCCCTTAGTCCTGTCTTTCACAGCAAACGTGTCAGAGTAATCATTCATCCATTGCTCAGGGTCTGCTGGTCAGAACGTGCCTTTAAAATCATAACGCTATTGTAAAATATTATTTCACCTCACAGCCACAAGCACACAGCTTGAAGGCATGTGCTCATATAACGTGTCCAGAAGGAACCTTGGATTAAGATACTATAGAAATCTGAGAGTATCATAGTAAGTAAAGTAAGCCAGTCAAAGAAAGACAAGTATCACATAACCTCACTCATATGTGGAACCTAATGAACAAAATACACTGATGAACAAAATAGATCCAGAGACATAGAAGCATGGAACAGACAGACGGATCTCAGAGGGAAGGCAAGGGAGGATAGGAAGAGATCAACCAAAGAACTTGTGTGCATATATGCATAACCCATGGACATAGACAATAGTGTGGTGAAGGCCTGGGGTGGGGGGCAGGGGTGGGCTGGAAGAGGTCAATGGGGGCTAAAAGGGGACATATGTAATACTTTCAACAGCAAAGATTAAAAAAAAAAGACAGAAATATATGCCTTTGGCTACCTTGATGTATGATAAATGTGAAGTCCCAGAGTTGCGAGACTGAAACTCCTAGAAGGTTCCTTGCTCTCCTGAACTGCTGGGGAGGGGCCTAGGGAAGGGGTCGGAGGGTCCAAGGTCAGTAGGTCTATGTGAGGAGACTGCTAGGCCTCCCTGAGATGGGAGGGGCGGCCCTTCTTAGCAGAGCTGTTTCCAAGGAGACAAAAGAAAGCTTCCTTCCACCCGAGATGGAGTTCCAGGCCTGGCTCAGCAGTGAGCTCACCATTACCCTCTGCTCCAGGAGCTGGGCCCACATTCACCTGCAAGGCGTCAGTAGAGCCCAGTTTCCACAGGACTCCTTGCAGGAAGGTGGCGGGGAACAGGCGTGAAGAGCACCATTGGGCAATGCTCCACAGAAAGAAGTGAGACCCGTAAGATGAGGGCTTGCCAGCAGAGATATCGCAGCACCGGACGCGGCGCTGGCATCCACTGCTCTGTGACCTCAGGTGAAGCTGGGCAGAGCTGGGTGTAGCAGATCCAAGCTAGTGTGATCTTGAGAGCCACGGCCTCACTCCTCAGAGAGCAACTCCTTGCAGGGGCCTTTCTCCACGCCAACTATCAAGGTCGAGTAGATGTGCTTTTAACCTAGTCCATATCACCTTGCAATTAACTTAGTAGCTGATACTTAGTAGCCCTTTATGGTCTAGAAAGCACTTTCCTATATATTTTCTTTTATTTTAAAAATAAATTTTTAAAAAGATAGGTGCCATGCAATCTCATTTTAGAAAATTAAAAAAATATATATAGAACAGCATAAAAAAGATGACCGTCACTCAAATCACGCAGAGATAAACCAATTTCATTTTTACTTTAAATACATAAAATATGTTTAATTCATGTTCATATTTTTATAATACGCTTTTACAGCCTGACCTGTCTCTGCCCTGCCTGTTAAGTTAGGTGGAACTAAATGAATTTCAACAGCAGTTGAAAATCAGTTACAAATAATTATGTTGCAATGTGATAAGAGCTGGCAGTGGGGTACAGCTGAAAAAGGGGGAGGCTTTGAAATAAGAAAAACGAACTTGGGTTCCAATCCTGGCTCTGTCAGTTACAAATGGAGTGACTGTGAACATGTTACTACCCTGGAATTCATGTGTAAGAGCTGAGGTAGGCTGTACCCTCCGTGATGGGGGAGTGCGGTCTTCCTCTCGCTCTGAGTGCCTGACGCGCGGCCAGGGGACTAGAGATGTTTGCTGACTTGATGATCTAACGGGAGATGCGGCCACCTGAGCGACATTGCCCTTGGCGGCTGCTGGGGGTTGCCATGGGGCGGGGCGGCGGGGGGGCGGGGCTCACGGTGCACCTTCCGTTGTGCCTGGCTCAGTCATCTCAAGGGCGCACCTGCTGTTGCTCTGGCTCAGGCATCTCCCCGGCGCGTTGTTTATCTTTGTTCTGGTCTCATTACAGGATGTGGCTCCCCGGCTGATCTGGTGCGAAACAGCCAGTGCCCTTCCTGAGTCAAACAGCAGAGTACAGCAAACATCCCGGCGCGGCTCTGGACCGAAGAAGAACGTGGTGGGGGCGGGTGGAGATCTTGCACAGCCACTGCCTCTCATGGCGTCTCCTCACGGAGCTGCGAGCTGGGCACCAGAGATGGGGCTTTCAGAAAATCTAAGGCAGAGCAAGTGGGGGGAGGCACCCCGGGAGAGAAACCAGGCAGGCGGCCCGCAAGAACATCGCCTCTTTCTCCGTTTTTCCACAGTTGGTGGGAGTGTTCTCTTTGGCACCTAAAGTCACAACGCCTTACCATGGGTGGACTTGGTGAGTTCAGCGGAGCAGGGGCATTGGATGAATGGGAGCATCAGGGGACGCCTCTTGGCATCTTCCTCCAGGAAGCTCCATAATCGGGAGCCTCCATTCCCTTCCCCTAATGGGCATGGGCTGCTCAGGACCAACTGTACTTTGTACTTAAAGATTTAGGCTTTTCTTATACTCAGAAGGATCCCGCCAAGGGCTCATTTATATATACATATATATAGTTTTTAGAGAGAGTGGAAGGGAGAGGAAGAGAGAGAAACATTAATTGGCTGCCTCCTGCAACCCCCTACTGGGTATTGAGCCTGCAACTGGGCATGTGCCCTGACCGGGAATCCAACCGTGACTTCTTGGAGCATGGGACCACACTCAACCACCGAGCCACGCTGCCAGGGCCCACCAAGGGTTCTAGCACTCCCCTGACTCCTTGTTGCTAGAGGCTAACGTTTGAAATCATGAGGTCAATAAAAAGGAGCCCAGAGAAGAAAAGTCGGTGTCTCTGAAGATCGGTGGATCCTGGCACCATCGTCACTCTCCCTAGCGAAGAGCGTGATGATCAAGGGCGCTGGGAGGAACAGGCAATGGGGCTTGAAAAATGTGAGCGCCCAGGTTGGGCCCGGCTTTGATATGAGTTCTGCTCCCTGCACGGTTCCGCCCGTTTCCCGAGGGCTCAGCTCCCCTTCCCGGCGGATTGTTCATTTAGGGTCTACAGTGAGGCATGTCCTGAATCCCTTAGTGGCAAGAACGGAGAAATTGGCTTTGCTATTGCCTCTAATAAGAGGTTGCACTGCCCTGACAAGTTAAAGAATGTTTTCCTTTGGAGAGATGCATGGGCAGAGTGATTGCTCCATTACAGACTATTCTCTGGCTGCTAATAAAAGGTCTGGCTCTGCTAACTCGAATTTGTCCGAGCGGCTGTTCATTAAGGGAGCGATGACAGCGGGTGGGCGCTATGCAGTGGCTCCGTGGTCACCGGCTGCAATCGCAGGATGGGAAAGCCCTTCTCACCTGGCACCTGAACATAATGAGTCTGATGGAAACCGACACGCCGGGTATTGTAGGAGCAGCAGCGAAGGGGCCTGAATAGAAACACCTGTCACAGAGATCTGCTTCCCGGCGCAGCGCAGGGAGACTGCAGCAGACTGCACCGCATCATCCTTTAGACGTGAAAGGGAACTCTGGGAACGCTAATTATTCTCATATCTGCGCTGGCTGGAGAGGCAGCCGACTGCAGAGAGCGGCCTGCTAGATTCCCCATTTGTCTGAAGCCCACACTTCACCGAAAAGCCTTGAAAGCACCTGGCAGTTGTGAGAGCCTGGCTCCCTGTGACTGCACTTCCTCCTTCCCCCGAGGAGGAGCAGGAGTGATTCATTACATGGTTAGAGTGTACTTTACAGCTTCCAAAGTGTACTGCATACATTAGCATCTCATTCAGGCTCCGCCAAGATGGAGGCACCACTGCTCCACGAGGTTAGGTGCGTGGGAGCGGGGGCTGGAGCCCAGTGGGTATTGAGTGAGTCCCTTCCAGTTGCCGGCGCTGTGCTGGGCTCTGAGCTCAGGCTGAACACACACTGGTATGGTTCCTGCCCTCTTACAGGTTATGTTGAGGGAAAAGGGATCATACGTAAGCAAACACAATTATAGATAATTTTAGGTTCTCTGAAGAGAAGGAGCAGGGTGGAGTAACAGAGGGGAGTGATGAAGAGGTGGTAGAACCCTTCTTAGGTAGAGCCGATAGAGGACGCTTCCTGGAAGAATACATAAAAAAGTGGCTAATGTAACGGAAAGGAGAAAGCAGAGTGGGAACTGGGCTGTCTTTGTAGGCAGGGAGCGTTGGTACCCCCTTCAAAGTAATGAACCTGGTGCCAGAACCCACTGGTGGGAGATGAGGTGCGGGGCTAGGTGGAGGTCAGGACGTGGGCTTCAGAG